CACACACACACACACACACACATACTTTAACACCAGCCCACCAAAGACACCACTGAACTCGCACCTCTTCTTGTTGTGTCTACAGAACAACTGTATGTCACTGCCTGTGGTATATCTGGACCCCACAGTTGATCAGGAGTTGGCAAGCAGACTGACCATTATCATCACAAAGCACCAGGTAAAGTGCTGCATACAGATAAGTTGACAGACATAAAGGGAGAACATTTCTTCTATAGTTACTGTAATCTATGGCTCGTGGGGCTCTGGTGATGTAATTTCTTCTCAGTGCTACTGGCTCACAGTTTGTCTTTGTACAGGGTACACTCACTGAGGACCGAACGCTCGCCAGTCACCACATCTACCCCTTACCTGCCTCCACAGAGGAAGGTCAGTTAAAGTTTGTTTATGTGTTTGTCATTGTGAAAATACCTTGTACTGATTAACTTGATACATTTTATCTGTTGGCAGATGAATGGATGCGTCCTGTCATGCAGAAAGACAAGCATGTCTTGGTACATTGGGGCATGCATCCTGACAGGTAATTAACAAGCATACTAGCACTGTAGGTGCTTGCACTCAATCAGAATGCCAACCCATTATGTTGCTTGTCTCTTTTCTTGAAGTTATGACAGCTGGCTGTCTTCAAGTGATGTTCAAGGAGAGGTTGAAGAAGCACCACATCCAGATAGACCCTGGAGGGTGAGTGTACATATGCTTAAAACTCCCAGGACTACACCACACTAACAACAATTTTCAAATTCAATGTTTTTTTTACAGCTGTCAAGGTAGCCAGTTTGGAGTCTGTTTGCTCAGTTTGTTTTACTTACACTTAGATGCTGATGTTCATTTTGGACCCTGATGAGATACACCAGTACACACTACTCTTTTACACCTGAATTCTTTATTGAATATTTGTATTGGTGCGGTTTGTGTTCCAGGTTCATGCTGGTTGGGTTCTTGACTCAGACATTTTCAATGAGTGGATGAATGAAGAAGACTACTGTGTGGATGAAAGGAATGTACCAATAATCCTTCGCCAGCGTATACACCTCCATGATGACCAGGTTTGTCTCTGTAAAGGTCTTGGGAGCTTGTGGATGGATCCTATTCTCTAATATGATTATTAAGTTACATATTGGACAGTGAATTCAACTACAGAAAGCAAGTGTGATCCATAACACAATTGTTTCTGAATGTCAAGGTTCTTGATCTTTGTTGACACTGACACTTACACCTTTGTCTTGATTTCAGGACTCAAAGTCGACCCCATCCAAAAAGAGAAGGCGATCCCCCTCTCCCCCCTCCTCTGAAGGCAGGAAGAAAGGAAAGAAGGGGTAAGAAATAACTGGAACAGGAGTGTGCACTTTTGGTTTGGCATATCACTGCTTGGTTTCAGAACAGATTTTTTTGCTCATACAGGAGGAGGCGTGGACAACAGGAGGAAGAGCCAGAAGAGGACCTGACCAAAGACATGGAGGACCCTATACCTGTTCCTAACATGGAGGAGGTCATACTACCCAAGAATGGTAAATCACTCAATGACAGTGACCATAACGCTCTAAAATTATTGGGTTTGAGTGAAGTTTCTTTTAGCGGTGTTCAGATATATTACAAATCTTCTCTTAAGATTTTTTAAATTTCTTTACCTGTTTGTATAGTAAACCTGAAGAAAGACAGTGAGAACACTCCTGTAAAAGGAGGCACCATGGCCGACTTGGGTAAGATTGCATGTGTTATGTTAAATGTTCCCAAAGAATGTAGAATATTTTAGTATTTATTTTGCTTTTTCTCTTGATTGTGTGTATGCACCCTAATCATTTTCATCATCCCCTCAATGTTTCAATTTCAGATGAGCTGGAGGATGATTTTCCAGGAAGGGTAAAAATCTCATTTTTATTTAATCAGAATCTTTACAACTGCATTAGATTTGGATAATTTAGTATTTGTGTTTCACAATTATGAGAGTGCTTATAAAAACTGTTACATTATATGTGTGTGTGTACACAGGATGAAGAAGAGGGAAGAGGAGAAGTGCCACGGTTATCAGAGGGAGAAGAAAATATCACAGAGCAAACCCATCACATTATAATACCAAGCTACACATCTTGGTTCAATAACAACAGGTAAACAAACATATGCAGATACACAGATTTGTACTATTTGCCAATACATGCCTAACATTAAAGAAAAATCTAACCTGAAATTACTCTTTCCAGCATTCACTTAATAGAGAAACGGGCTCTCCCTGAATTCTTTAACGGAAAGAACAAGTCCAAATCTCCAGAAATGTGAGTACCACTGACTTTCAGATATCACCGTTAACATAGACAATGGAGAATGCCTCATCAACAGCATGATCCTCCCTGTATGATGCAGTTACTTGGCGTACCGCAACTTCATGATCGACACGTACCGGCTCAACCCCCAGGAATACCTCAGTTCAACGTCCTGTAGACGCAACCTCACTGGAGACGTCTGTGCTGTCATGAGGTATAAAATAGCGTGTGGGAGTTTGCTTCATCTGCAAAATTACGTGTGTAGAAAATCTGTTAATGTTGGGAATGAAAGAGGTGTGTGGTTAATGGGGTTAAGCTAAAAGTTTGTCAGCTGCATCAAAGTAAAATGAATGGAGAGAAAACACATTATGTTCAATGTTTCCAGGGTTCATGCATTTTTGGAGCAGTGGGGTTTGATTAACTACCAAGTGGATGCAGAGAGCAGACCCCTCCCCATGGGACCCCCTCCCACGCCTCATTTCAATGTACTGGCTGACACACCGTCCGGGCTGGCCCCCCTACAACACAAACCCCTGCAGGTATTGTACATGTACAGCACATGACAAGAGCTTCACACGGATGAAGAAGATATTAAATGTTTCCTGATGAACTCTGCTGCTCACTCTCACTCTTGCAGGTGACCGCCTCGCAGCATATGTTGTATTTCCCAGAAAAGAGCAGAGAGAAGCCGTCAGACTGTCAGAACTTTGGTCTGCGCAGCGACATCTACACCAAGAAACACCCTAAGGTCTCACACTGTAACAATACAAATATGCTGAAAATTACATTGTAGCCTTTTTTTCTCACATTCTTGTATGTAATCTGGTAGATTTGCTTTTTGTTTTCCATTCATATTAATATATTACTAGTCACTATTATTATCATTAATATTTCATCTTTCTCAGACCAAAGGAGCGAGTGCAGGAAGGGAATGGACGGAGCAAGAAACACTCTTGCTATTAGAGGTAAGACAATTACTTGTGCATATTGCTTTCTATTATGGATCTAACACGTGAGTAGTGCTTTGCATGTATAAAAAAGTAGATCTGAGAGAATGTTTCTGTTTGGCCCTGAGGATTTGTGATAATTTCCTTAGCCTGGCCTCTTCCTCTTTTTTTCTTAA